CAGAAAGTGTGAAGAATATAGAAGGTTTATTAGTAGAGTTGTATATTAGCAAGCTATCAAGATTAGCAATTTTAGTATGAAGAAGGTTAATTTGAGATGGAGTGACTTGGAGCTTATTGGTGGTTAGGATGTGTTGTAAAGAGTTTTTAATAAGTGTATAAAGCTGATTAGAAGATAGGCACAGAGCCCAGTATAATGGAGTGCTTATTTGCTAGCATATTTGTAAGTTGTTAAGTTGTTGTGATTAAAAAAGTAATATTAAAGTCTTTGGTAATTTGAGTGGCTGATAGGATATTGGGTTTGTTGATAGAGTTCACTTGTATAATCTCAGGTAGAAGAAAAAGTCTAATTCTGTATTTTGGAAAAACCTATCTGATGAACTTCTTTGCTACTGTGTTGTCTATAATAGACAAGTAAATTCAGTATTAGTTTTAATTTTGTCTGGGTTTGTAAGAAGAAGAGGTTTAGATACAAAATAATCATTAAGTAACAGTTTGAATATGTAGTACTCTTTGAATATTGCTACAACTTCTATAAATAAAATTTGAAATATTGTCTGGTTGTATAGAAAAAGCTTGTGAACTTTAGAGTTTAGTTCATGATAGGTAGTAAATAGGTGTATTTTGAATAGTAATAGGTTAAAATATGCATTGTGATCTGGGTTACTGTATAGAAATTAGCAAGCTTTCTTTTGTATATCACAGGTTGAATCAATGAATAACGGGTACAAATTGGGAGACAAATCTCCTAGTATGTACTCGTTATTCTACCATAGATCCGCCAAATAACTGTAGCATCTCAGTAGCATATTGGAAGCATATAGATTAGATATCGGGAGATAGATCGATAATGGTAACATAACAGTAACATACCGGAACATCCTAATATCTTACTTTTAGTCCAAATAGTGCTAAGAGTAAGATATCAGGATGTTCTGGTATGTTACTGTTATGTTACTGTTATCGATCTACCTCCCGATATCTAATCTATATGCTACCAATATGCTACCAAGATGTTACAGTTATTTGGCGGATCTATGGTAAAATAACGGGTACATACCAGGAAATTTGTCTCCCGACATGTTGTATAATAAGTAATTTAAAAGAAAGTATATTGTAGATTTCTTGTAGTATTTAGTCAAAGATTTGGGAAGTGGGGTAAGTCTGTTTTTAAAATTTTTGTTAATGTGATCTCTAATTTTTTTGTAAAAATTCTCATTCGTGTCTTTTATTTGTAGAAAGTTTCTTATATAGTGAATAGTTTTGTAGATTGTTTTTTGTAGCTTACTTAAGAAGTTTATATTAGTAAAGTATTGTGAGATTAATATTCTTTTTAGCATTATGCAATAGTGTTGCGAGTATTAAGATTAGTAAATATAATTTTGTGCTTCTTTTTGTATATTTTTAGAGCCTTGTCAAAGAGGTTTGTATACTCTTTTTGGTATGCTAGTATAGTTTTCAAGTTGTATATAAAGGTAGTAAAAAACTATATATCACAATAAGCAAAGTTAAAGAAGATTGCTTGAGACAAGTAGTATTTAGTATGGATAGTAGAGAGTTTGTAGCTAATAAACTTGTAAATTTCTACAAGGGTCTTAAGTATAGTGGTAATATTGTTATATGACTAGGTATTAGAGTCAAAGAGTATATTTGTAGGCATAATTCTTTGGTATACTAATATAGCCTATTCTATATTATCTGGAGGGTCTATAAAAAGAAAGCTAAGATTAGTTTTTGCAATTTGGCTATATGAGGGTTTTGAGAGATTGGCTTGAGTATTAGAAAGGGATCTAATTATGCTTCTGAATATTGCTTTAGTTTGGAGCAGTAGCTAATTAGAATATGTTATTTCTAGATTTTTTATAGTTAGCATTAGTGCTAGATATAATAATTGTAGTAGTAGCGTTAAGAATAGCTAGTAGGTTTATTGCTAAAATAATTTGCTTGGTTGGTGTACTTAGTTTTGATAAGTTGGGTTTGGTAGTATTACTAATTATAGAACTATTAGTTAGGATATATTGCTAATAGCAAGGTAAAAAGAGTTGTATATATATTTGTAGTAGTAACAGTGTCTTTATTTGTATTGTGTATAATATTAGTAAGAAGTTTGGGTGAGTCTATAGAGGTATGTTTAGGTATATTGGAGGTTGTGGAATATGTGATATATTCCATGCTGCTTTTGTTAGATTCATTGTTTTGTCTAATAGTATTGTACAAGATTCTGAATAAGTTAGCAGTACTTTTAACTTTGGTATAAGATTTCATACAACTTTTATACATATTGGTAATAGTAATAAGAGTACTTTGTACTAATATTTACAATATTGTTTTTTTGCATAGTAAGATTAAATAGGACTAATTAGGCAAGATTGTCATATTTGTATATTCATTATAGTAGATAATTGACCAAGTTTGAGAATTTTTCAGATTTGGTAATATTGATATAAAAAAGAAAGTTGTTAGCATACTTTAAAATACAGAAGCTAACTGTAAAAATAAGTTTAAACCAATCCTTAATAGTAATTTCTACAAAATTTTTTGTGTTTTATTTCTGAAGTTGGTGGCTATGTTGTAACAAAAATAGTGTCTTGTTATACAAACTTGTAAGATATAGAAAAATAGCCAAAGAAGCTAGGAGAACTTTCTAAAATCATGTTTTTAAGTAAGAACTGGGACTTGGCAGAGTGAGTTGTTTGATACTTTTTAATATTTTGGTATAGAAGACTAATAAACTTTACTGTAAAGTGCTTAAATATTGGTAGTCTTTAGATCTGCTTTTGTAAAAAAATAAAAAAACTAGTTTTTTATCTTTTTTAATGTTTATTGCGATTTATTTAATAGGAAAACAGCTTAAAAAAATATATCTTTTTAAGTATTAAAGTATTATTCTAGTTGCTAAGTAATTTTTTTTTGGTATTAAGGTGATCTCTTTGGTCTGGGGAACTTTTTATTAGAGTATAGATGAAGTTTTATATGTAATTACAACGATGGACAAAATCAATATAATTTTAGAGAGCCATTTTGTTAATAAAGATTATATTTATTTTATTTTAAATAATTTAATTGAAGGGGTGTAGTGACTTAGTAAAGTGATGGAGTTGTTACACCTCCAGATAGCAGGTCTAGAGTTCGAATCTCACAGATGATGTTTTTGAAAAATAGCCTTGTAATATAGCTAACAGCTATCACTATCAGTTAGATTCTAATTTGTAATCTAGGTTACATCATCTAGAATAGGAGCTTTAGCATATAAATCCAAGGAACCAGAATAACTGAAAACCCATTTGGCAAGTCCTAAGTTGAGAAGTAGCAGCAATTTTTAATAGTGCTACAGGAAGACTGAATTTTAAACTAGAGACCGAGATTGGAGAACTGAGCAACTAGGTCCTTAAGTAGAGAGAACATACTAGCCGAACTGCTAGCCTGCCACTGAAGGAAAAAGACTTGTACTCTGGAAGTATATACCAAGAAGAGAGAGACTGTAAGACACCTAGAGCCTGGGCAGACAAACCCTTCCAGGTTGCTAGCTAGAAGTAAGGAAGAGACCAGTAAAGAATTCAGGAAAGAAGATAGTTGGAATATGGGTACTAGATCATTGTGAACCTTGCAAGAGCGGAAATATATAAATAGAAACTAATTAGAAAAGTTGTAGCTTGAGATACGAATCATATTATAGCAGTATTCAAAAGGATAGCTTGAGATTAGGGTGTCTGGCACGCCAAAAAAATTTGGCATGCTACAAGGCATGCCTTTTGTTAAAATTTGTGCCATGGCATGCCTTTGGCATGCCACAATATTATTATTATTTATAACACTGTATATATAATATGTATCTATATTCTGATATTATAAATATAATTTTTTATACTACACCCAGTGGCATGCCGAATTTGTTTTAGGCATGCCAGTGGCATGCCACTATGGCATGCCACTATTGGCATGCCCTTGCTACTATGCCAAACACCCTACCCAACGTTCTACGTATCAACTGTTGATATATATAAATTTATTTCTGTAATAAGAGCAAAATTTAGAATTTTAAATTTCTGAATATTTTTAATTACCCATGTATTAAACTGCGACTTTCCGTGATCGTTCTGTGATGGCGCATATAAATTTAATAAAAATTTTCTGTGATCGTTCCGTGATGGTTCGCCTAATCATAGGGATTAAGACGGCCTGCATTAAATTTTATGCGGTGTTACTCTCCTGCAGAATCATTTCTCACGGTGCGATTTTTATTAACGAATATTACGAATAATACGAATAATGTCTAGACCCTTTTCCTTACTTTATACGATCCCGCGATAAGAATGAGACTTAAAAAGGCTATAAGGGCAATGAGTACAACGTTATTTATCAGTAGTTTTATCCAAATTCATATGTTACGGGGACTTCGAATCTCCGCAATCTCCGAAATCGTTAACTTTTTTTTCATCACAGGAGAGATCGTCGATTATAAGGGGGTTTAATTTACCTAAAAAATGACAAAGTAGATTCAGTATTTAGAACTTATGACCGAAACGGAGTTGCTTTGTTAAGTGGGATCTGGCTAACGTAATTACTAATCATGTAATTTCTCTTTTAGCAGGTTTTTTAGATCTAAAAAAAAAATGGTATAAAATAAGTGAGTTTTAGCTTGTATGGTAAGTTGGCAATAATGTTTTTTTGCTCAATTTTTTTGTTGACAAGGCTTATACATTTATATTTTATTTTCGAGGTAATTATACGAGGTCATGTATCTGTATGCTTATTGTTTAACAAGTACTGAAAGTGAAACTTTACTTATAAGCTTTTTATATTTAGCACAAAATGAGTAGTACTAATGATACCAACACCCCAAGGCCAACGATCCCAACACCCCCAATACTAACGATACCAACACCCAAAATGATAACAACTTTAACAGGCTGTCTAAACCTAAATCCAAACCTAAATCCAAACCTCAATACAGTAATAGAACTTGTAAGTAAATTTTATATTGCGTAATTATTTCTTACTTCATAGGTCCACTTTGTAGCATCTGTAGGTGATAGTTTTCTGATTAAGTTTTTCATTACATTGGAATGTATCTGTGTATTCTGTGTATTAAAATCAGATAACGATCCCTTCTATCCTATTTCGAGAGAAAACTTAGAAAGACGTATAGAGAATGATGACTGGGATGGTGGTATAAATCCTGGTCAGGCCCAAGAAATGTTAGATCAAATGTAAACCCACACCAAACCTAGCCTATTAAGGGCACCTCTTTGAGGATATATTTTTTTTGTATTTTTATAATAAAATTTTTTATTTGTATATTGTTGTTCCAGCAACATTTTTATGAAATAAAGAGAGGCCTTATGGGCTCGCCATTTTTTATTTTAACGCAATTTCTTACAATGTAATTTGCGATGATTAATTAGTGGAGACTATTGAGTTAACTTTATTAATCTCCTGTTATGGGATTCAAGTATCGCGTGTTAATATGCACTAATTATATAATCAGAATTTTTATAAGTTTTTTTCCCGCTACTTAAATCATAATAATAACCTCTATCAGATTCACCATATTCATTATATCCACCACATCCATTATATCTATCGTCATCCGATTCATCTGGCATCTCTTCTTCAGAATAATTGTTGTGACTATGATCACTATCATCATGCGAAAGCGCCTGGTTCGAAGAACTTCTTTGGCCCGGCTCTACCTTATCTGATCGCGAAGCAACCTCATTATCAAAATACACATCATCATCAAATTCTTCATCAAAATATACATCATTATAGTCGATATTGGTCTCTGCCTTAGCTGAATCTTCAGGTATGGGTAAGATTTTTCTGGGACAGGCCAAAATTTGATGTCCTATATTATCTGTATCGACGTTCTGACAAGAATAATTTATAATCTCTTGAATTTGATCATTAGTAAGCTTTGAAATGGAATTCGCACTATATGATTTAATGTATTTGATTTTATCATGACCTATTTTTTCGAATAATGTATAAATTTTCTCAGCTCTCTGAGTTTTTTTGCGCAAAGCATCCCACGATATTTCTGGAAGATGTAAACCCAATTCTTGAGATCTTTTTTTATGGATAATAGAAAGCTGTTTTGTAATGGAATCATAAAGTAAGCTTCTCGCCTTCTTTTCACCAATTTTACTTCTGCTATTTTTAATAATCTCATTGAACTGAACCCTGAAATCCTTTCTATAGATGGACCAACATAAGATTTCTTCTTGGTTAGCTTTATTTGCACCATCCTCAGCATCAATAGCTTTATCATATAACTGAGCGAGACATTTCGTACATGGTAATGTGTGATAATAAAAACTTTTGCTTAATAATTTTCCGGGACCTAATTCCAATTGTTCGGTCTCGGAAATTTTAGTCACATGGTTTTGAATTATATTTGATTCTTGTAGAGACGGCTCTGGAGTAAATAATTCTTGGATCAACCCCTGCCCATTTTTTATATTTAAGGAACTATTCTGGGAAGTTATAATTGCCTCTTGAGTTAGCTTCTTTTTCCAATTTCTTTCTCTTATTTCATTTTTAGTCCGTTCTTTATTTACCCGTTCCAGAGATTGATCCAATGAACTATTATCTGAAGATAAGTTTTGATCCTGAAGTTTCTTTTCCCTAATCCTCTCCATTATCTCTTCACTAACATATTCTTTATATTCTCTTTCCACAAAATCTAGAGTTTCAGCTGAATCATCATCAATAATATCTTGTGGCAAAGAAGTGATAAATGATTCAGGATCAGTTAGAGATTTAGAATCGCTCCTTTGGGTCTGGGTCAAGTTATGTTAGGACAAGGGATCGAGAGTAATACTATTATTTTTATTGGACTGATCTTCGAGAGATACTTCCCGTTCATTAGTGATAACCTAAGTTTGCTTCTGTTCCAATTTCGAAAATCGATTTTCACTTTCTTTTGCCAACTGTTCTAGTTCCATGATTCTGGCATTGAGCTCACCATCTCTCAACTTTGCATTCTCAGCATTTTCTTTTGCGGTCTGTTCTAATTTCACAAATCTGATCTCAATCTCTTCCTTATCTTGTTTTAATTTTATATTTTCAGCCTTGATATCGGCATTCTCCTTCCTAAGTTCAGTAATCTGGTGAACAAGATTAGAATTTAATTCTCTTAATGAATCAATTGTGGATTGGGTGTTTTCCATTTTTTTATATAAAATACGGATATATTCAAATTAATTATATGAAAAAAATGGCAAGTAAAAAAATCACATGTGCGTTCCGATTTGGAGAGAAAAATTCGCTCTCGATCATATACGAGTTAACATACATCGATATCAATACAATAAAATAAATTCACGAAATACACATACAAAAGTAAACACGATTATGTATGCGAAATCAGCCACTAAGACCAACTTTTATTAATATAAAAATCAAAATAAAGTACAGGATAAAATACAGAACACATAGAAATTTACAAATAAAGCTTCAGTTAGTATTAATTTTCTGATAAAAAAAATAACCCCCGTTATTTTGCTAATCTTGATTTAGGATACTTCGCTATTCACGATACTAGTATTTATTAATAAATCAGATATGTTAAATTAAAAATTATTAGAATATACAAAAATAAAAATATATCTAAGAGTAAAATAAAGATGAGCATTTGTTGGTTGGTTATCCAGGTCACACCACATGGAGGTCAATACTCAAGTGACCCGTGTACCACACTTTGGTGGATTTGGAATTAAGGAATGACAAGAGTGGGAAAGTATATGTTAAGAAAAGAATGATAAGGGTAAGAAAGTATACATTACGAAATTAATGATAAAGGAATGGCGATAGTTAAAGCGGTAAAAAAGAAATGGCGATAGTTGAAGCGGTAAAAAAAAAATGAATGACGATAATTAGAGTGAAATTAATGGCGAAGGATATGATTGTTATAAAGAGGAAGTTTAATAGGATTTCGGTTAATAATGTCGAGTGTGAGATTAAGGAAAGTTAGAGTGAGTTGAGTTTTGGTTGTAAGGATGATAGGATGAGGAATGTCTTCGGATATATTTGCTTCGTCAACCGCACCAGGGGAAAACTTATTACCAACTACAACGCCTATGACATTATCTTTCGTACATGTAACACCTCTTAACGCTCGAATAACATCTGGACCTATAATTAACTAATTAATAAAAAAAAAATAAACAAATAAATGAATAAATACGATGTTTACCTATATTATTAGTCCAGTTTTTAACTTGTATCCAAATTTCTCTATTTCGAATTTTGCATATAATATCAACACCTCCATCTCCTCTACGACTATTATAAACAATAAAGTAAGTATTTATGTCATAGTCATTAACAACTAAATATTGCACGGCCGGAATAGTCTACGGTAACGCACTCATTAGTTAGCATATATCCTATTCACCCATAAATTCCCCGTGTATCTGACGACCGCAGGAACACCAAGTAACTGACAAAAAGAACGTTCTATGTCGAGACATAGGCCACGAAGAGCTTTCATTTTTTCTCAGACATTTTACACCGATGGGGCAGCGTAACTTCAGATATATGATAACTCAACAAATACTTAGTGAAAAAGCTTACCCTCTGTGAATGACTTCAAAACCGAGGCTATTCAATATTTCAAAAACATCTATCTCACCTATCAAGCCTCGTGTATAGGTGGATTGTGTAATAAGAACGGAAAAAACGGGGGTTTCTGTAGAACGCATCATTGAAGACAAAGTCATAAATTTCCTCACATCTCTTTTTATTCCGAACTGTCATCACTCCTTTTTTCTGGGAAGATTTCACAATTTAGTTGTCGAGAGAACGTGCCTAAATTACTAGAAAAATCGTTATGATGAAACCCCATTTTTAGAATGCGTCGAAAACCCTTATTTATATCTATTTCCGGTCGCATATCCAAAACACTTTATTTAACCTCAAATAGAAATTAAGCACTCAGCATAGAGTTTCTATTATGACAATCAGTTATACAATAGTTACAATTTACCAAATTAGAGTAATAAACTCGATATGTGCTCTGGTCGCAACTTGAATCGAATGATACAATAATGTCTATCGGTATCAATATGTACCCCACTCATACTAACAAGGCATGATCTTATTGTAATGACCTAATTTAGTTTAGGGTTCTGCAATAACCAAATAAATTATGCATGTGGAATTTTTGTGTCCATTTTATTCTAAAATAAAGTTGTTAAATATTATTGCATTTGTACGAATTTCAACTAATCACATGAAAATGCATTATATAAGTACTTAAAATTGTTAGGTAAGGTCTCGATCCAGAGTTGGATTTCACAAAGTCAGAACATTAAATGGCATGAGTTGATTGGCCATTCCAGAAAAATGAAAAAATGGCACTCTGAGATTGTGCCCCGTCTCACAAATAAGTTATGCATAACGATAAGCCTTGTAAGGTGATACAGATAAAATTCATATGCGGAATTATTCTAAATGAATATCTTTGTTACGTGGGTGAATTATGGAAAATTATATATCTATTTTTACTAAACATTAATAATTATTCGAGAATTATCACATTCACATCGCCTATATATCCCGTCAGCTACCTTTTTGCATATTTTGCAATATAGGTGTGAATGATGATTGCATTCGTCACAAACCTTACACCCGTGCTTCCAGCCTCTAAAGATATGCCACTTTTCAAAGTGATTTTGTCTTTTTTTATTTGTATATGTATTGTTATGATTTTTTATCATTGTTGTATT